GGCCATGTCTTTACTTACGGCTAGATTGGCACTGCTACGATTGATGCAGTGGTTTCGATTTAGAGGGTCTGATGAAGACCCGCTAAATCGGTGGCAGAGCACTCTCTTGTCAACTTCTGTACTCCAGCTTCCCGAGAAGCATAAGATAAGTCAGCAGGAAAGCATCTCCTGTCAACACAGCGTGGTGTAGACAGCGCAATAAGTTGACCAAAGTTACGTCGACTTCAGTTACGCAACTTATGTAACTGAAGTAGTGTAACTTGGGTAGTCTTATTGCATCGACCAGCCCTGACATTTACCAATACAAATCTAATTACATGATCACATACTATTTTTTTCCACAGCAGCCAGGAGCTGCAATTGCAGGGAAAATCCTATTCAGCCCTTGCTGCCCCGGGCTGGACCATGTTCAATGCAGATGGAATCTTTGGATAATTCAGCTGCCAAACTCCAACTAGTCTCTGCAGAGAATGAATGAACTGAGATTTTTTAGACATTCATAATGTAGTCAGATCTGGGTGGTATTCCATGGAACAGCAAAAGGCACATCCCTGACATGAGGGCAACCACTCTGTCTAATTTCAAGCACTAGCTCTAAACCATGGAATTTCTCAATGAAACAGCTGTAAGCATTTTTTTAACATCGGCAAAACAAAGTGGGTTCCCCCACTTCTCTTTCTAGCAAAGGGCTGAACCAATTTTGCTGAAATTTTCAAAAAAAAAAAAAAATTCAGCCCAAATGGTTAAAGTTTGGCAAGTTATAAGCAACCTAAAACAGAGCCTCATAATGGGAAGTGTCAAGCAACCAATAGTTTTAGGCAGCGCCACAATTCGGACACATACTGCTTTTCAGTGTTCTGCTCTATATCACCTTGTAGGTAGGCATCCTGAGATTATATTGATTTACAACAATTGCTGATGAATAGAGATAGTAATTTATGGATTAAAAATATATTGTTGGAATAATGCAATATCAATTTTTGGAAGGCAGACAGGAAATCACCTATTTTTATTTTTCATATTATTTTTGCAAGGAGAATGATCATGTATTTGTTAATTTCTAGGGATGTCAATTAATTGCAGTTAACTCACACGATTAACTAAAAAAAAAATAAATTGAGATTAATCACAGTTTTAATCACACTGTTAAACAATAGAATACCAATTGAAATTTATTAAATATTTTTGATGTTCTTCTACATTTTCACATATATTGTATAATGTGTTGTAATTGAAATCAAATTGTATATTATTTGTATTACAAATATTTGCACTGTAAAAATGATAAACAAAAGAAACAGTATTTTTCAATTCACCTCATGTAAGTACTGTAGTGCAATCTCTTTGGTGTGAAAGTGCAATTTACAAATGTAGATTTTTTTTGTTTCATAACTGCACTCAAAAACAAAACAATGTAAAACTTCAGAGCCCACAAGTCCACTCAGTCCTACTTCTTGTTCAGCCAATCGCTAAGAGAAACTAGCTTGTTTGCATTTACAGGAGATAATGCTGCCCTCTTCTTATTTACAATATTACCAGAAAGTGAGACCAGGCATTTGGATGGCACTTTTGTAGCCAGCATTGCAAGGTATTTACATGCCAGATATGCTAAACATTCATATGCCCCTTTATACTTCGGCCACCATTCCAGAAGGACATGCTTCCATGCTGATGGCACTTCTTAAAAAATTAATGTATTAATTAAATTTGAGATTGAACTCCTTGGGGGAGAATTGTATGTCGCCTGCTCTGTTTTACCCGCATTCTGTCATATATTTCATGTTACAGAAGTCTCAGATGATGACCCAGCACATGTTGTTCATTTTAAGGACACTTTCACTGCAGATTTCACAAAACCCAAAGAAGGTACCAATGTGAGATTTCTAAAGATAGCAACAGCACTCGACCCAAGGTTTAAGAATCTGAAGTGCCATCTAAAATCTGAGAGGGACGAGGTGTGGAGCATGTTTTCAGAAGTCTTAAAAGAACAACACTCTGATGTGGAAACTACAGAACCCGAACCACCAAAAAAGAAAACCAACCTTCTGCTGGTGGCGTCTGACTCAGATAATGAAAATGGGCATGCGTCGGTCTGCACTGCTTTGGATAGTTATCGAGCAGAACCCATCATCAGCATGGATGCATGTCCCCTGGAATGGTGGTTGCAGCATGAAGGGACATGTGAATCTCTAGCGCATCTGTCATGTAAATATCTTGCGATTCTGTCTACAACAGTGCCATGAGAACGCCTGTTCTCACTGTCAGGCAAACAAGAACCAGGCAGTATTATCTCCTGCAAATGTAAACAGATTTGTTTGCCTGAGCGATTGGCTGAACAAAAAATAGGACTGAGTAGACTTGCAGGCTCTAAAATTTTACATTGTTTTATTTTAGGATTCAGGGTTTTTATACATAATTCTACATTTGTAAGTTCAACTGTCATGATGAAGAGATTGCATTACAGTATTTGTATTAGGTGAATTGAAAAATACTATTTCTTTTGTTTTTTTACAGTGCAAATATTTATAATCAAATATAAAGTGAGCACTGTACACTTTGTATTCTATGTTGAAAATGTAGAAAACATCCACAAATATTTAAATAAATGGTATTCTATTATTAACAGTGATTAATCACGCGATTAATTTTTTTAATCTCTTGACAACCCTATTAATTTTATATAATTTCTTGAATGAGTTGACATATGCCTTTGCTGCATGTCAGAAGATGATGCAGCTACTCTGGATTTAGTCCACTTCTGTAACCAAGAGCTGAATTTAGCTGAGAATCACCAGCTGTCAGTAGAGAATATGATAGTGGGAGGATACTTTATCCGATCACTGCATTATGGTTTTTGAAAAAGAACTCATTTTGGTGGAAAGAAAACAAAGTAATTTTTCAGTTAAGAGTTTTCCATAACAGCAAGAGAGTAATTTTAAACCAATAGCTTTCTTGAAAAATTAAGATGGCGATTTACCCCCTTTGAAAGCACCAATGTGTGTTAATTACCTAACAGCCTGATCTACTAACACTTACTAATGGGTGCATACTTATTACCAAGGATATTCCCACCGATGTGCCTATGTTCAGTAGCAAACATTTGCTAGCTTATGATCCTGCATGCAAGCTACTTTGTCAAAGATTTGCAGTCTCCCAAGAACCATATACTAAAATGCAGCGCCAGATTAAAAAAAAAAGACAGAAAAACTGTTGAAGCCTCATTTATTTATTATTGTCTCACTTATTGAAAACATCTGTCCCCACAGTAACTTCAGCAAAAAGGAGCTCTTAACATCTGTGAATAAAAATGGGCAATATCTTCATAAGGCAAGGGCCTGGGTGGGGACCTATCAGAGAAGGAGTTGAGGAGCCTTTCTAACTTTCTAAAGCTGGGAATGTTCACAGACTGATGAATGAGAAATGCAATTTCTGAATCCAGATCATTAACAGTGAGAAAGTGCTGCCTAGACATAGAAAAAAAGAAAAATATCAATCCTGACCCCAGAATTTCTTCTGGTCCTTATTAACATCATGTCAGCTAATGTTCAGATTAACTGACACCATAGATCACCTGACCTCCGACACAAATACTAAACTGACAGGGCAAGAATTTAATTTGGAAGACTTTTTGTGGAGTATGGGCTAGTTAAACCATTTTAGAGATAATATAATGACTCAGTTTACTAGTATATTCACTTTTAATTGGTTTTTAATAATGTGTATGTAGTGGCTAAATTCTCTAGAATATTCTTTGTAACTAAACTTTCATTTACACATAAACTGTATGCAGCTGTGTTTAGAAGACATACTTTTAAATGACCAGTATAGCCAGGGGTATGAATGTCTGGTTGAGCAGAGACAAGTCACTACGTTAGTCAGCTGGCAGATTTTTTATTCAGCAGGGTACTGGGGTTATTCCCTTCTCCATTCCTTGCCTTAAAGCTAGTGGAGGGAAAGTGGTATGAATTTTATCCCAGGTTACTGCATAGAGTCCAAGTATTCACTTTACAACTGATCAGGAATTTTGCAGGATAAGGTAGGTTTCAGCTAATCTCCCCATTCAAAACATATATTTTCAAAATAAAAGTTTCATATTTTGGTTTGAAAACCAGATCTTTTGACATCTTAGTTATCTATATTTTTAGAAAGGTCATGTTTTAAAAAAGTTGAAATGTATCAGTTGACCCAATCTGAAAAAGTTTTTGACTTAACAGTTTGTGAAATTTTTTAAGATTTCAACTTTTTGTCCCAATTCAGGATGGAAATTTTTTTTTTTTTTTGAAATCTCAAAAATTCTCACAGGAAAGAAAAAATGTCCAACCCAGTTCTTTCTTCCTCCACATCGTTCTCTAGAGGAGGCAGCTCAGTGGTGGTTCTAGTGGAGAGGACTCTGGGTAGTTTAGCCAAGGCCAGGGATCTGGAGGGAGCATGGGCAGGAGCTATGGGCCCTGAAAAATCATCATTTTCAATAGAGGACTGTTGCGATAATTTATCTTGGATGAAAAATGAAGCCATGTGCTACCTAGGGCAAGACTTTTTTCTTTTTCTTTTCTTTTTTTTTTTTTTTAAGAAGGGCCCATCTAAACTCTATGAATGTTCATCTTATGGGTATCCTCAGTGTTGCAGACCTGAAGAAGAGTTCTGTATAGCTCAAAAAGTTTGTCTCTTTCACCAGCATAAATTGTTCCAATGAAAGATATCACCTCACCCATCTTGTCCCTGTCATCTTATGGGTAATCATCAGTGGCAGTCCCATACAATAAATCTTACCTAACCTAAGTGTTCATTAGGCGTAATCAGGTTCACTCCAGTTTGTAAAGTCACCATACTCTATTACACTGAGAACATATTGTGGCGGTGACAAGGCAAGTTAGCAGTCTCATCCTGCCAACCAACAGCGAATACAACTTTTAACCATTGCAGTTCAAATCGGTCCTGCACACAGGAGGCTTGCAGGCCACACCCCAAGCATATAAAATGTGGTATAAACTGTAACTTACCATCCCCGGTTTCAACACAGAGTTGCAAGCCTAAATTGTTCTGTGGATTAATCACCCAATGATTGCTGGTCACAGTGATATCAAATACAAGCCAGCCCACATTAAAAGCTTGAGTCTTCCTTGTGTCCAGCAGGAACAGTTCTGCATCCCTATTTTAAAAACAAACAGCAGAAAGTTAGGGCAATAGCAAAGTCATTGTTTCTTGTGTTTATCTGCTCTCCTGAAAGTGATCTGCCAGAGCCCATATGAATAATGAGGCACAGTTTTTTGGTCTTCCTTTGCTGTGACACAGGGTATTTTAGCTGTTTCCCCTGGAAAGAGACTGCCTATAACAGAGTCCTTGGTGGTTCCTTTCTCAGGGAGTGGGGAAAACCTGACCACGTCCAGTTATCTGTACAAGGCAGTCATATCGGAGACATGTGCCATTGCTGCTGCTGCCTGTGCTACCATGGCTACACTACTATTTTTAGCATGCTAGCTCAGATGAGAGCTAGCAGAAGTGTGTCCACAAAAGCTGGGAGTCAGTCAGGATTGCAGTGTAGACATTCCCTAAGTGTTTGGTGTGGATCATCTCTTTGTGTTTGTACAGTACCTAGCACAATAAGCCCTGATCCATGATTGGGGCTTCCTGGGCACAACTGTACTACAAATAAATAAATAAAATAATAATAATATCTGTATCCGTTTGTTTTTCTTAAAGCAGCACGCAAGTTCAAGTTAAATATTCTTACCACTATTTGCCATGGTGAGCAAGCATTTGTAACCTCAGAAATCTTTTAGTAAGTAAAGTATCTGATTCAAAATTATTTCTGTCCGAATTAATGGTAAATGATTCAAGTAAGACTTAATCCATCCTTTTCTAAAAATTATACTAACTGCACACACCAAGATTATATGTTAAAGAAATACAAAGTGACAACAAGCTTATAAAATACTAAACAAACAGGTTAAAAATTATGGTGGCCTTGGGTAAATGATACTTCAGCCAGCAGCTGTGCAGATGGGCATCACAGTGACATGATGGGTGGAACTGGCATGTCTAAACTGTCAGTTTTAAATGCAGACATAGGCTCTGATTCTGCAAATTTATACAGATGAGAGTAATTTTACAGACAAGATTTTGAGAGATATTGCACACCTACAGCTCTCATAATAGTCAATGGGAGCTGCAAGAGTTCGGATTCTCTAACAATCAGGCCAACAGACCCCCAAGAGACTACAGTATACACAAGTGCATAAGTATTTGCAGGATCAGGGCTAATAAAAGGTGACCTATGGAGAGGAGACTGGCTTTTTATTAAAACAAGATCAATCACATTTTGCCAATGCTCCCCCTTTTCTTTGTTAAATTATAATGCTTGCGATGACATTCTCCTGCTGTGCTCCTATCTATTTGATTATAGCAGAAATGTGTTAATGACCACACAAGAAGAAAACGTACTGCTTCCTCTGGGTATAACTAACATGAAAACAATTCTACAATTCACGAGACCCTGACCTGCTACTCAAGCACTGAACACATTAACAGCGTACCACAAGCTCATAAAAGGTATTCTCTGGGGTCTTAAATGCCTAATTTTCCTCTAATAAGCAGTTTTAATCGGAACTTTAAAAGTTAAACATCTAGCTGTAAACAGGGTGGCCTTTTAAGATGGTTATTTATAAATATTTTTATATCACTTAGTAACAAATGTACACAAAGATGACAATTCTGTAATTCTATTTTGGAGCAAAAATATGAGATTTTTAAAAATTGACTGTTTTAATGTTTACTATTCTCTTCAAGAACAAATTACTTAAAATATTAAACACAAACAGGAAAAAATGTTTACAAAACTCAGGATTTTGTAATAAATATTTAAAAGACATCTGAAACAACTTTACAATGATAACAGAACTGGTAGTTTCATGCACACGCCCCACCAAGGAGTCCATGTGATAATGTCTGTTAAACATCATTTTCTTTAAGATTCAAATTAGCCTTTAGTCCAGATCTGTCATTTTTACAGGAGAGCCCTTTTCAAGGGACCTGGTCTACACTACACAATTATGTCAGTGTTCACACTACAGCCTTGTCCTACTGATGTAAGTGCCCTACTACATCAACATAACTTCACCTCCAGGAGAGGCATATGCTTATGTTGGTGTAGTTAGGGCATCACAGTGTCTGTGTGGACACCGCCTTACTTACATTGGCTGTTGGCTGCCTTGTCAATTTCAGGGCTCCATGCTGGAACCATGAAATTGACAAGAAAGCCAGGCAGCCAGAGCTCAGCTGCCCCTGGGCTGGGAACAGGGAATTGTGAAGCCCAGGCAGGAGTGGGGAGGCGAAAGCTGCGGGGCGGAGGGTTGGGAGACAAGCTGGGCTCCCCATGTGGAACTTCCCAGAGCTCAAGCCCTGGCCTTCAGCCCCCCACACACTGCCCCTCTTCAGTTGGTGGAAGCACTCCTGGTGAGGATGTGCACCACCCACAGAAGGTGGGTAGTGTGGACATCAGTAATTTCTGCGGTGGCTGTAAGTTGACCTAACATAGGTCAACTTAGGGCTGTAGTGTGGACATGCCTAAGGAGTTAGAAACCTTTGGATTTGCATTCCCTCTCTTAATTATTCTCCCTTATTGATTCACAAAGCTGCTGACTGCTGTTTTTGACTTGTATGAGAAAGATTCCAAATATGCCCTCAGATGTATCCATGAAAAAGCCAATTGGAGCTGAACATTCTTATACAACAAGCCCCTAATAATCAGGGCCGGCTCTAGGTTTTTTGCTGCCCCAAGCAAAAAATCTTTTGGCTGCCCCCCGTCCCAGCCCTGGGCTCCTCGCCGGACCCCCCCGCTGCCCCACCCCTGGGCCCTCCCCCACCCCCCGCCCCCCCCGCCCTCCGCTCTCCCCCCCCCCCCCCCCCACCCCCCCGCCCCAGCCCTCGGCTCTCTCCCCCCCCCCCCCCCTACTGCCCCAGCCCTGGGCTCTCCCCCACACACACACCCTGCCGCCCCAGCTCTGAGCTCTCCCCTACCCCCCCACCATTGCCCCCACACACACACCTCCTGCCGCCCCAGCCCTGGGCTCTCCGCCCCCCCCTCCGCCCTGCACCCTCCTTCCGCTGCAGCCCTGGGTCACTGGTAACTCGCTCCCAGGGCGGGTCATTCAGCAGGAATTTTGGATGTGCACAGAACACAGACAGGATTGGTTCCCATATGGTTACAGAACTGCAGTAAAGTGGAACAATTTTCAGCTTGTGTGATTGGAGGATATCTGGATGCATATTATAAGACTGTCCCACATAAATGAGGAAAAGTTGAGGTGCCTTTATTATTCTTTTGTTCCACTCTTTCTTTCTATGGGGAATTTGCCAATGCAATATCACTGTCTTCCTTTTCAACAAACAAACAAAACAAACAAACAAAAGGCAATGGCTGTTGAAAATAGCAATTCCAGTCCTAATAACCACTGGGAAGCATTTCTTGCTCAATTTTATCCTATTTTTTCTACAGTAAGTTACAGTGGATCAGTATATTTGATTTGGGAGAAATGAAGTAACAGCTGCCCAAACTGAGCTTGAGCACTCCTGAATTTTGAGGTGTTCAAATCTGGAAAGCAGGTGCTGGGGGGGGCTGTGGCTCCACAGGGGAGCACAGCAGCATGTATGCAGCAGCGTGTCTGGTGCTGCGCGAAGCCAGTCACGCTGGTCTGAGTGGCACAGTAAGGGGGTTGGGGGGTTGGAGAAGGGGTGGGGGTTCCGGGGGGGGCAGTCAAGGGACAAGGAGAAGGGGGGGTTAGATGGGTCAGGGGTTTGGGGGGGCAGTCAGGGGACAGGCAGCGGTTGGATAGGCATGGGAGTCCCAGGGGTTTGTCAAGGGACAGGTAGGGGGTAGGGTCCTAGGGGGGATGTTGGGGGGGTCTCAGGAGGGGGCAGTTGGGGACAAGGAGAAGGGAGGCTTAGATGGGGGTGGGGTCCCGGGAGGGGGCAATCAGGGGACAAGGACCAGTGGGGCTTAGATAGGGGGTGGGGTCCTGGGGGGCAGTTGGGGCAGGGGTCCCGGGAGGGGGTGATCAGGGGACAGGGAGCAGGGGGGTTGGATGGGTTGGGGTTTCTGTGGGGGGCAGTCGGAGGGAGTGGATGGTGGCAGGGTGGGGCTACCCTCCCTCCCCATAGAGTGTCCTATTTTTTGAATGTTAAAATATGGTATCCCTACTCACAGGGCAGTTCTCCATTCACAGCAGGCTGCAGCATGAGGTCTCAGCTACCTCACTCCCTCCCCCTCTTTCCTGTTGGTAGTGGCCAAGGGAATGCTGGGAAATGTAGTTCTTTCCCTGCTCCAGGGTTGGGTCTATAGGCAGGGAGCTAACCAAGGAACTACAGCTCCCAGGGCCCCCTGTTGGTTCTCAGCTCCCATGCTGGATCCCTGCCGCCCCTGCAAATGGGCTGCCCCAAGCACCTGCTTGCTTTGCTGGTGCCTAGAGCCGCCCCTACTAATAATGAGTCTACTGCTCAACTCCTTATTAGAGACAAAATCCCCAAAGGGAGTTTTGCCCAACTAAGGATCTCTGAGGTGGCCAATATGACTTGCACTGCTGGAGCTGACATGAACTTGGCTACTCTTTGGCATTGGTACTTCGATCTTTTGGTTCTTCCTTCTTCATGCAACAGGATCAGGTAGTGTAACTGGCTGTAACACAGGGATTATTCTTCCTCCTCGGCTTTACATATGGACAAGTTATTCATTTTAGGGAACTACAGAAAACAAGAAATGATAGCTCAAGGGAATGTGATAAAATATAGAGAGTTTCACTTCTGGATCACTGCAAAGAATCTAGCCCAGGTGAATAGTAACTTATTACAACACTTCAAAACATTTGCAACAAAAATTTGATTTTTTTCACATTTTGTTACAAACTCAAGGTGAAGTACTGCCCACCATGAAATCAGTAGGAGTTTTGCCATTAATTTAACTGGGGCCAGGATGTGATCCTTAATTTGGATCCATTTCACCCAAAATGCACCACATTTTATGGATATTCTACTTTTATCCAATGAAAAGCAAACATGGGGACATTCTGAATGATAGGCAGCTTCAAAATTCAGATTAAAAATGAAAAATTTCATATTTTCTATGCAAAAGGTAGCCTATCACATGTAATGAAAACGTGAAGGGGGATGAAGTAGCCTGAAAGAAAACATTGAACAAAACAGTGAACATCTGGTTACAAAATTCAGGGAAAAAATTGCCTCCACCACAACATACTCTGGTAGTAACTGATAGATTTTACCATGAGAAAGACTATTGTGTGTCTAAGCATAGTGTGTTTGGTGGCTTTAGTCCAGTCCCTAGTGGTCAACTGTCCACAACAGAAAATCCAGCACAGTTGAGAATCTCAACAGAGGCAGCCCTGGACAGAATGGATGTGCAGCTCCTGATTCCCAATGGCCAGCTGAGCTGCTCTCTGCTTGCAAGAGTTGGGCAGGATAAAGATGCACAAAGTCACCTTTGTAAGCCCCTGAATCCTGGGGCAGATCTGTCCCAGGCCACCTCAGGACCACTATGGGAGGTGGCCAGGACCAAAACCATTTAGGGTTTTTAATGTCAAAACTAATGTTTGGTTTCACTCAGGAGCTAACTGATAGCCCCAAGTAACTATTGCTTACTAAGCAGTTGCAGAATGCTGCAGCCAACTGCAGCTTCTGAATGGTTCCCATGTAGCCCACTTGTAGAGTACAACCCAGAGGTGACAGACCCATGAATAACTGTAATCAGGTCTGCAAACCAAAACAAAGAACTTCCTTGCCAAGCACAAATAATAAACACATTCTTGGCAACCACTGCTATTTGGCAGCTGGGAATCCAACAAGCTGTGCAGGTTTCAGACCTCACCAGAAGCAAATGGCAGCGGAGCTGACTGTGGACTTGGACTTCTTTATCAGTCTTTTGAATTTATAGTGAAGACCCTGTTTCATTTACACCTTCATTTATATCTATTTAAAGATATCTATTTGTGTCGCCTCAGGTTCCCCTCCTCCTCACAGTACCTTTTTAGAACCAGTTGTCACAGTTCTTTTGAATTGTTTTGCAACGTGCATGCCCAGGAAATCAGCTCCTGCTCTGCAGATCTATAGAGGCAATATTCTGGTTACTGGTGACCATTTTCTGTGGTGAGTAATATTCTGAATAAGATTCTCATTTTAACAATATTCCTTCGTTTTGTAAAATGAAATCCAATTTTGGGTTTACATTTCCCTTTCCCTGCTACTAACCCTGAAAACATCCCTTCTGGATGATGTATGAAGTCTCCTGCTAAAACAGAGGTGGGCAAATTACAGCCCGTGGGCCACATCTGGCCCGTGGGACCCTCCTGCCCAGCCCCTGAGCTCCTGGCCCGGGAGGCTAGCCCCAGCCCCTCCCCCGCTGCTCCCCCTTCCCCGCAGCCTCAGCTTGCCCTGCCGCTGGCGCAATGCTCTGGGCAGCAAAGCTGCGAGTTCCTGGGGCAACGCAGCCGCAGAGCCCGGCCTGATCAGGTGCTCTGTGCTGTGCGGTGGCGTGGCCCCGCCAGCCACCGGTACTCCAGGCAGCGCGGTAAGGGGGCAGGGAGGGTTGGATAGAGGGCAGGGGAATTTGGGGTGGTGTTCAGGGGGCAGGGGTGTGGATAGGGGTCGGGGCAGTCAGAGGGCAGGGAACAGGAGTTGAATGGGGGCAGGGGTTCCAGGGGGGCAGTCTGGAAGGAGAGGGGGGGTTGGATGGGGGGGAGGGGGGCAGTCGGGGGCAGGGGTTCTGGGGGCAATCAGGGGACAGGGAGAAGGGGTGGTTGGATGGGGCAGGGGGTCCCGGGGGGGCAGTCAGGAACGAGAGGAGGGGTTGGATGGGGCAGCGGGGGGCAGTAGGGGGCAGGGGTTCTGGGGCTGACAGGGGACAGGGAGCGGGTGGGGTGGATGGGACAGGTGTCCCAGGGGGACCATCAGGGAACGGGGGGGGGTTGGATGGGGCAGGAGTCCAGGGGGGGCCGTCAGGGGGCAGGAAGCAGGGGGGGTTGGATAGGGGGCGGGGCCAGGCCACACCTGGCTGTTTGGGGAGTCACAGCCTCCCCTAATCGGCCCTCCATAAAATTTCCGAAAACCTGACGTGGCCCTCAGGCCAAAACGTTTGCCTGCCCCTGTGCTAAAACATGTAGGGCCAGATTTTCAAAACAGCTTAAAATCCAGCGGTTCCCATGTAGGCACCTAAAGAAGTGGCCAGATTCTCAAAAAGAATTTCCATGGAAGCCAAGTTCTGAGATCTTTTGACTATTTGGACCCATATATTTAAGCAGGAGATTCTCTACATCATTTTGAAGGACTATTTTCAGGGTTAGTAGTAGGAAAAGGAGAACCCAGGATTGGGCTTGCTGCTAGGCTTTAATGAGCACTTCTGGTCGCTGAGCTCCTCTGAAAATCAGATTGATTATTTAGGTGCTGGACACACTTGACAATCTGTCCTATAGAGCTTTCTGTAAACTTCCACTCAAAGATTATTGCTTTGTCCACTTGTAATGCTATATTTGCATTAAACTTTAACATATGGTAAGCCCCATGGAGCAAATGTGTATCTCTCTCTCTTACCAACAGAAGCTGGTCCAGTAAAAGATATTACCACACCCACCTTGTCTCTCTAATATCCTGGGACTGACACGGCCACAACTACCCTGCCTAACTCACTCACAGAAACACATATCAGTCCTTGGCGGTATTTAAAAAATAAATAACATTTTTTTTAAAAATCAATACAGCTCTTGCTTTGACAAAAATAAATGAAGCTGAACTGCATAATATATAGTAGTTAAATGCTTGTGGTATCCATATTTCAATGAAGGTAAATTTTTTAACATTGGCCACTTAAATTGGGCATGCGATTCTGACATTTGCTCATCCAGAACAGTTAACTTAACCCATCTGCACACAGAAACATGGAGAGTGTATATGTGTATGTGTGCACAGATTAGGTAATCAGGCTGGAAAAACTCTGCCAACACTGAAGACATTTTGTACAAGATATTTTTTTAGCTGAATTTCTGTTGTTTCCCAGGAATTAACAGCCTGTTAAATTAACTGATGGTGACAATATCTTGCAGATGTCCAGATGCAGATGAATTTGTGAAAGATGTCCAGTTATCACTTCTCCATTTGAGAGAATGATAACATGAGGACTTTTTTAAAAAAAAATAGTACCTGTTTGGGTATTCTTTGATGATCTGATATATGCTAATCTTAATTGTTTCATTCTCAAACCGATTGTAGCTTCGGTCCTTGTAAATCCGGAATTCAGCTGCTGTCACTGCTTCTCCATGTGGGATTTGAGTCAGGTCAAATCGAAACTCTTTGTAGTGCCTTCTTTGATGAGAAAAGTCCTTGTCTCTTTCAACTATGAAAAAAGATTAAATTAAATTAAAAGGAGTGAAATGTATATACCAATCCAATGATTAACTGTGCATTCACTATGTTTAAAAAAAATCCCAACAAACTGGATGATATAAAACTGTGCAAATAATAAAGCCACAAATCCAGACATACTTCCAGTTAAAGGAAACTCCACAAGCCAAATGGTCTTCAGTTCAAGAGGAAAAACCCTCTGTGGTTTTTTACAAATTCCAGAAGTCAGAGTGGAAAGAATATCAAGAAAACTGAAAGAAGTCATGGTGTAAAGCAACTAGAAATATGGACAAAATGAAAGTTGCAGAAGGATTTGATACTTGGGTTTAGTTACATGTACAGCAGAAATTATTTGAGAGACACAAATGATCTTGGTGTACATGACTAAGTAATAATCGGGAAAGAAAACAGGGAAAGCTGACTACTTCTGTCTGAGGCAATAAATTTTGGAACAGTGCTAAGTGCACCATAATTGCTACATATTTAAGAAGAAACTACATCATATAAATTAACACATGCTGTCATCTTATGGCATAAAAGTGTCTTCTTGTCAATGGTATGAGCACGAGAACCACAAGTCAGAGCTAAGTGGTTCTGGCACCCAAACTGCAAAATGAAGCAACACTCCTAGTATAAGAAGTCCCCTCCACACATATATATTAATTCTCTGCCACATTTTTGTTTATGTATCGTTTCTGATGCTTCTTTATTTGCAAAGTTCCACCAGGAGCTAAAATCTAACCTCAAAACTAGTTAATCAGGATTCCACAGTATTTTAAGAACAGAGGGCCAGATCTTCAGCTGAGGTAAATCAGCACAACTCCATTAATATCACCAGAATTATCCTAATTTACACTAGCTGAGGTTCTGGCCCAGTAGTATGAGAGGACAGCTTTGCAGAATATTTGTTCTGATGCATCGAAGAAGCCCACACAATTACTCAATGTGATTTTACATGTATGAAAAACAAGATCACCTGTCATTTTTATGCCTATGGGGTAATCCGTGGTAGATCCCCAACTGCATTAGGGTTCTGTACCTTACTAGATTTGGGAAGTCCAGAGTCGAGAGTTCAGATCCATTCATCTATTTCATCAAGAGTTAGTGTGTGTCTACTAGTGATGGGAGAAATCCAAAGGGTTCAGAGCTTCAGTTCAGCTGGGATGAGCCGACAAACTGAGTCCCACTCAGCCCCACTACACTCTTTTCCCACACAACCCCTTCTCCTACTTTCAGATCTACTCTTTTCATTCCACTGATCCAAGGTAGTAACAATTTTGGCCCTGAAGCACTCTACATTAAAAAAGGAAAGGAAAGGAAAATAGAGCTAGATTTTGACAGTGCATAGTTAAGGACACAGACGTAAAAGTTGTCCTTCCAAAAACTTTGAAATTATTTTCAGAACTGTATTTAAAGCACCTCTGTCAACTCTCAATGCCAGGCCCTAAGTATGCACCTATTATTTAGTCTTTTAAAACATAACTGGAAATGGATTTAATTAATATATAATACTTTAAATGTGCAGATCTGTTGACAAGTTTTGCTTTGTCAGTATGTATAACATACTGCACAGACTATATTATCTATAAGAAAGTATATTTACTTCAGTGAAGATAAAATTTCTCTTGACTGACAAAGAACCATAAAACTCCTCTCTAAACAAACTCAAGGAGTTAGGTAGCCCAAATGCACATTTTGACTGTAAGGATCCAAAATTTTGTTCCATGTAAGACAGAAAGTCAAGACAGAAAAGAGGCAGAAGCATGTAAACTAGCCGCTCTGCAGCCAAAGATAAATGGGCTGCCACTGAAGAGAAACAGGATACAGTCTATTTATTACCTCCATCACTAGCTCCTAAACAGCAAGATATATATTGATATCAGACCAATTTTTAAAGAAATGAGATCCCCTGACTGGCTTACTTAATGCACCAATAAAGGATCTATATTTTAAACACGACGACAAATCAATTTCTGTTTTATTGTTCGCAGCTAGACTTTGTACTGCACATTCTTGGAAAAGTGAACCCTTTGAGTGGAATTACTGTATAGAAAAATATGGCCTATCCTTGTAATGGAAAAGCAATCACACCAAGTACATACACAAGAGAAGTGTTAAAAAGAGCATCAGAATTTAGAAATGTTGTCAACTTTTTTAGCACACTCAGAGGAGGAGGACACCCCAGCCAACAAGCTAGAATCTTTAGCCAGGTTCTTGGAATATTAACCTGATCCTGAATAAGTAATAAGTAATGTATGATGTAGTATGTTAACATTTTATTGTAACTGTGCCTCAACAAAAAGTTTTTAAAAATACACATTAAAGCTTTCATTACTGAGACGGAGTACAGCATGAGTTAGCACATGCAATCACAATGAATTGTTCAGGGATGCTTTTGGTTTGTTTTTGTTTTTTAATAGAGTGAAGATCTTGCTATAAATTATTAATGTCATAACTGAGAATTTGAAGAGTACTTGGGAGCAGAATGTGCCAAGAGTTTTCATTTAAAAAATATTTTAAAAGTAGAATTAATTCAAGGCCCAATTCTGCAACCCTTTGATTAGTACTTATTGAGGGAGTTCAGTGGGAGTTCTCATGTGGGTAAGTGCTACTCACTGGTTGCAGAATTAGGCCCCAAATGGGGATTTCAAATCCCAGGATTACTGGTCTGGTTTTCATGTCTATCTACTTAGCAGTAAATTCAAATTAATAACATTTGTATGGAAACAGTAAGTATCCCCCATGTCATAACTCGGACACAAATAGGATCAGTATTTACAACACACCGTATTACAGCATTGATAGTACTCTCCTAGAAGTACACACAACTGCTGAATGAATACTTAGCATTTGCTGTTGAATTAAACAAAATTAAATGTATTAAATAGGGCTAACACACATTTTACTTATCTATTTATATTATTTCAAAGAAAAGGCACTGCTGCAATATGGAACACACACACACACACACACCTCTGTTGTTCTAGTGCATTCCTTTAGTCCTGATCTTCAACTGGACAGGACAGAAATTACAGTCAGATAAGTTGAAAAAACAGAGGTAAATTCCAGAAAAATAACTGACTGTCCAAATAAAGAATTGAATAAAAATAAAAGCCATAGGTGAAATCCTGGCTCTACTGAAGTCGATGGATAAACTCCCACTGACTTCAGTGGGGTTGGGCTTTCACACTGTACATTTCAGTATACCAAGATGAGAACCTTAAAAGCAAACATCGGTAAACTAGAATGCCTGGCAATCAAAGAAGATTTTGAAATAGGCATTACTGATACATAATGGAATTTTTTTTAAAAAAACAAGCAATATGATGTACTAATAGCTATCTACGAACCATAAAGGAGGTCAGATTAGGTCGTAGAAGTGGGGGAGTAACATTCTTTCTAAGGGAGTCCATATAATCCATTGAAATAAAACTTCGTAGTAGAGAAGGTAATACAATAGAATCTGTATTACAAACCACACACCCCTACATTAACTCTATATTAGTAAGGGATTCCCTTCTGCCAAGGAAATCCTTTTCTGTCCATTCAGGGCAGCTTTCAAGTCCTTTTGCATGCTAAAGTGGCACAAAGGAAGCCATGGTGTCGTCCAGGATCTGGTCCCATGACAAAAAGATTTTAGCTTCATAGGTGGAAGTTTCTGAAAGTTATGACTTTGAAAAACAGGTTCTTATAAAGGAAACACTTAAGCAACCTTAAATATTTACTCCTCCAATTTTCATATGCACACACACACACACACACACACACACACACCAATTCACTAGCTGAAATGCAGCCATCACAGGGATGGATCACAACCGCTATTTAATGAAGTACAGCAATACTATGCAACAGTTAATAACAGGAAGTGAGGAAATATATCTTAACCATTTGAATTGGAAGGGGAACTTAAATAAATGGAATATAATTACTCAAACTGGAATTTGACTAGAACATCAGAGTAAATGCTATTATAAAAGGTCAGAAGAGATCTTAAGTTGTTACAATTGGCAAGGACCTAGGTTTCAAGTCTCAACTTAAAAACAGAACTTCCAGCTTACATGTTTAACATTACATTGGGGCACTGGTTCACCACCAGCTCAGGGGGATATTAACAGGAAACTACTGAGTAGATGGCAAAGAACGTTTTTTTGCCAGCAATCAATATGGCCAATGAAACATTCAGTGTCATAATGCATTCATACTAAAGTAAATTACAAAAAGAAAAAAAGACAAAAGCCACATCTAAGAGTTGCTTTATAAAATGGATCATCATTGATCTCAAGAAAAAATATTGGGTTAATTTTTCTGCTGGAGTAAACTGACGCAGTTCCATTGATATCGATGGAACTGCACCAATTTTCACTAGCAGAGAATTTGATCCACTGGGGGGAAAAATATATATAGTATGATATCCTGATAGTTTATAATTGAACTATATATCTCTAAATAGGTATAGAATAAGTCTGAGTAAATATAATATACCAAGCACCATTAACAACTTTATCACAAAGGGACAACATACAGTAAGTAAAATTAAATTCTTCATGTCTGACTATTGGTGACATCATAGCAGAATTTTCATAAGCCTTCTTGATCAATTGCTAGCTCTCCACACTCAGAAGCTGACCTCCTAGTGATCTACCTCATACCATCTATCCATCTCTTCACTGGTCATCCCCTAGTAGGATGACCTACTACCATCCCTTCCACAGTAACTTTCTCAAGGTTATTTCCATTGCTATGCCTGATGTGCAAAGTACATAAATTTGCACTTGCTGATTTCTGACAACTGGGTCGGCTTCTCTCCAAAACTGCTCCTAACATACGCATTCATCTTCTTTTCCAGCCAGGAGATACCCGAGAGTCTTTGTCAGCACTGTATCTCAAAGGCTTCAATTTTCTTCTTGATACGCTTCAAGATGCAAGAGTTTTTCCAAACTTTCATGAGGGAGGCCATGGGTAAGCAAGCCATTCCTAATCGTCTTCCAA